GCACTATTGTTTAAACATTACAGGTAAGGTATTCCATACTAAGTATTATATTTTATATGAAAAAGCAGTTCCTAAAACTGGCACTATTGTTTAAACATTACAGGAAAAGTATTCCATACTAAGTATTATATTTTATATGAAAAAGCAGTTCCTAAAACTGGCACTATTGTTTAAACATTACAGGAAAAGTATTCCATACTAAGTATTATATTTTATATGAAAAAGCAGTTCCTAAAACTGGCACTATTGCTTAAACATTACAGGAAAGGTATTCCATACTAAGCCTCGTACTAAGACCTTTGTAAAACATTAGATGAAATACATGCTGGAAAGTGTGAAACTTTGATGTTGAAACACGGTTATAGTTCCATTTCTATATACAAAAAGTTGATAGACATTTTCTATAAATTCTTAGATGTGGGATGGTGTGATGCTGACAGTTCTTCAGTGGATAAGGTTATTGGTGTCAGAGGTCATGAGAAAACTATTCAAGGACTCATATCTGCTCTTTCCTAGTTTTCTGTGTAGTATGCAGGGATATCACGCATTTCCTATCCCATTTGTTAATACATAAACTTTTGTCCTTGTTATTCACGCAATGTGAGACAACAAGGGTTTCACTTGTACGTTTTAGTGAATAAGACTGCCATCACGTTAAAAACAAGGTAAAGAAATCAACAGAGGTATTTTCTCCTGGCAAGTCTGGTGATGCCCCCAGATGTCGCGTGAATAAGACTGCCATCACGTTAAACACAAGGTAAAGAAATCAACAGAGGTATTTTCTCCTGGCAAGTCTGGTGATGCCCCCAGATGTCGCGTGAAACACCTGCATCTTGAGAATAATAAGGTTATTTTTAGTATTAAATGCTATTTTTCTTCTCAGTCTAGAACAACTGGAACTACAGATTTCTTCTCCGCAATACATTTTTTAAGAAGATCCCAGTTATCCTGTGGTTTTTATCCAATTACTCGAACAACTGAAAATACCACACGTGGATAATACAAATAATTATACATTGCCACTTAACAACCATTATAACAACCATTATACCATCCAAAGTTCAATAGATGCATTTGCAAATTTTATAATATTTAGGTTTGAAAGACATAATCAATCACACTGGCGAATTTTATTTCATATGGTAAGTGTTCTTTCATAAATGTCATAACAAACACGTGAAATATTTTCTTTTGAACATCATTAACAGTATTTTTGTATTTGGTCGTTATTCCTCTGATTAATTTTCATATCCTTAGGTCAACAACTAGGGAAATTTCAATACTAAATAGGTGATATTTAAAGTCGAAAAATAACCAGTTTACTGTTTTCAGGGGGATTTGCTTACTTACCTCACTACTATCGTATTTGACAATAGGAAACTCCAAGCTGTGCACGGTCCAATGGTTAGCGTGCCGGATTGTGAATCCATGGTTCGTGCCCAGTTACCCACACTCCAAAAAATAATAATAATTAGCACTCCAAACTTTGGGACCGTGAACGTATTTTAAGGGTGACAGGCAAGTCCGACTATTCGATTAGAGTAGCTTACGAGTTACCGGTGGATAAAATTGACTAGCTGCCTTCCTTTCTAGTCTGTCATTGCAACCTAACGCAGATGACTCTGGAGTAGCTTTGCACGAAATCCCATAAACAATAGGAAATCCTTACGTAAGGATAGTTTTAATGGAGTAAATAGAAGCAGGGACAACAAATAAAAGAATTCCATCAACTAGTCATTATCCGGCATTACTTTTACAACCTTTACCTTAGGGTGTGAAACCGTAATCAACTTTCTTGTAAGAGGTATACTTATATCCAACACATTTAGTTAGAATCACATATCAAAAAACAATTCTTCTGATTAATATTATATTTAGTATGGTCTACTAAATCATATTACCCATAAAAACAAGCAATCAATATAAAAAAATTGAATTAATGAAATAGTTTAAAGGATTTTGATATTTGCATGCATTATTGACTTTTATTCACTTTAACTTTCAGTAAACTAAGCTTATACATAAAACTTATGATTACAAAATTGAACTAATGATTTGCCAGCCAGTTAAACCCTTCGTTCTTCAATTTACGTAAAAAAAATATTATCTATATATATCCTATCTAATCTACTAATATAATGTCCATTGTTCCAACGCTAAAACAGAACCTCTTTGTAGCGCCAAATTCCGCCCATAATTCTAACTCTACATACGCGTTGATTTATGGAGGCATTTGTTAGGGTCAGTGGACATATTACTTAGGAGTAAAGAGACTCTGTTTAAAGACTTCTGATTACAGCAGTTCTAGTAGGTAGTGTGTGGAAGTGTGGGTAAGGTTGAGCCACCAGTGAAATGGGCCATGAAATTCGTCGAGCAGAAACTACCCGTGCATACCATTCCGGCAATTCAACCATTTCAGTGATAACAAATTTCCCTTGTGGATTTGACAAAGGCAGAAGCAAATTTTAGACGCTAAAATGTCGCTAGGCAGAGGTTGTTGTTTGTTGTTTTTAATGTTAGATCTTCGAAAGTAAGAGTTAAGAGATATAAGACATTTTTGTTTATTTATTTATTTATTTTTATGTATTTATGAAGTGTCTACTTGTAAAGCATAGAGCTTTAAGTTCTGATTAGAATTAGCTTTAGAGCGTAGTATGGATAATACTAGAGCAAAGATATTTTCTGAATGTAACATGGCAGATAGGTTTATTTATTGTATTTCATATCTACATATGAATCTCATGTAATCCTTACGGAGCACGGAGAATAAACGAGATGAAAAGAAAACTGCAATACATCTTCATGTGAAGGTAACGTATCATGATGATGACTGATCAAGCAAGAAAGTAAAGTGAATATGGTGCAAAGACAGCCTAAATGGAATACGTTACTATATAATTGTTACTTCTTTGAAATGGTTGAATTAATTGAAAATTAACACAGTATCAATGATAAATCGTGTCAAGTGTGAGTGCAGGAAACATGTTTTTTCTATACAAATGTTTGTCGGTATAGTGAAAAGCAATAATATAAAAGTTACTACCTTTAGCGCCTTAGGTTAATATACATTCTTAGTATAATAAGGCAAATGAATTATAAAATAATTAAGTAAGGCAGATATAATTTCACAATTTTTAATGTAGGCTTCAGCGTCTGATGTGTTAAGTTTAATGTATTTCGAGAATATTTTGACATTTTAACAAAAGGAATTGTTTTATGCAATGTAAACGAATACTATATTAAATGTTACGTTCCATCAAATAAATTAAAATATTTATTTTGTCTCTGGTGGTGAGCAGCAAGGACATCTTCACTCAACTATATACTGTATTAACGATTAATTCTCAAAGCTTTTACTCTCTCGAGTTTAGGAGTTGTCACTATTACTCTTAATGTAAAAATAAAAGCATTATTAATGTTGTTTGTAAATTAAGATAATTATATAAAATGGGTTATACCTATTAAAAGCGGTTTGGGGAACTTTAGGGTGCAAACCTCAGAGCTCATCTCTTGTTGAAATGTACTTAATGTTCTAGACAATCACATTTGCCGAGCATTTCTCAATAAATAGCATAATAAAAATGAGCATTTTATTGACATGATCTTGTAAATTTGAAAATTTGTAACACTAAAAACCTGATTTGGATAATCGTGGTGGTCACTGTGTAGTTTTGCGCTTAGCAACATAAGAGCAAACTTTTGAGATAAAGTTACTGTGTTTATTGTTTTTGTTATCAGACATTTGTGTAAATAAAAGATGATGATCATACAATATGCCTTAGTTATACCTAAATTTGGGAAGAAAACGTTATAAAAACTTAAAGTTGTCGGGAATATTATAAGTGCACAAACGTATCTAGAAACGTTCGCTGTACTAATAAAGGCACATCAGTTCTTAATGTTTTACTATAATGCTATATCATTCCTTTTCCTTTTTTCTCTCCTGTGAGCTACACTACAGGGACAATTTAGAGAATTCATTGCTGTAACTTGATTAGCCTTGTCGTTTCTGTCGAAACTGTACGGCCTTTATCTGTCTTGGTCAACCTTTCTTCTCAAACTCCGAAAGAACCGAAGTTAGTTTTATATTTTAGTTAAGCCTCGTCTAGAGAGGCGTTTCACTCCAAGTTGTTGCTGTCACGTCTTTCTAGATGGTGCAAAGTCTAATGGGAACCCCTTACCCAAGACTATGTGGTATGACCTAAAATGACGACAAGAACTTGACCGATGTATCAAATATACTGACGCTGTATTTACTGAGATCCGATGAAATGATATTTTTGAGTCTATAAAATAAAATTGTTTGCACTAATGAGACACAACAGACTAATAAAATACAATGAGCTTCTGCGAAGTTTTTTTGTTTTTCCTTGAAGAAGAAAACGGAAGAGAATATATGTATATACGTGTACGTGTTCTTACAGAACAAATAACTTCGTAAAATTATTGGACGACAAGCAAAAAAGGAATCGTTACACTGTATGAATTACAAAGCGTAAAAAATAATCGAATTAACATGTTTCAGAAATTCCCCTTTATCTTGTATTATCTATACATATATATCTCAGAGTTTCTACTGAGAGTTACATTGATTATTTTGAGTTTTCAATATTTTTTTTGAAACATATTTTTTTCTTCAAAATCCCGTCTAGATGAACAAATTAAAACCGGATAATTAGCTTTCCCTCTGGACAGCGGATTTTTGTGGATATCTACGTTAAATGCAATAGGTGATTTTTGCTAAACGAAGAAAAACGTAGTACTTTAGATAGTTTTTACTTATACTGTATTTCCTAGTTCATACTTTAGTATAATCATTATATGTGACGTATTTCTAACTCATTAGAATACTTGGTCCTTAAACACAATGTTCTATTTCAGTTTTCTACGAAAAACAACAACTTATTTGGCGTTTTATGTTTCTCAGTCGGCTAAATGAAATTAACCAGATTAAGTGTTTAAAATGAAACTTTATTAACAAGATTCTTTAAATTATTCAGACTCACTAGGTCTGCGTCTGTTGGACCTGGATGTCCCAAGTGTTGTTGAGGATGGTGACCCAGTGTGGTTGAACTGTTCCTTCGACCTAGAGAATGATGACCTGTACTCTGTAAAGTGGTATAAAAACAGTGTGGAGTTTTACCGGTATTTACCAAAAGAAGAACCTAAAGCTCACAAGTACGAACTACCCGGCGTTTACGTTGATGTAAGTGTATCTTCTGTCTTGTTTTATTTTATGGTAAGCGTACTAAAAGAATTAGATACTAATAAAATTCAAAATTTTTCATATACTAGCAGATGAGATTTGAATATTTGATATTGGGTACCTACCGTTAACCATATGAACTGGCGTTTTATCCTAGAAAAAAATTATTAGTGCTGAACATGTACTATGCTTTTTATTTAACACATTTATAGACATGTTGTTAATGTGACGTACATTTTTATGATAACAATAAAACTCGTATTCTTGAAATGATTTCCGGTGAAAAGTCAGGAAAATGATCGTCATTACTTAAAATCCTTCATACACCGATGTAATTATTAATTTATTTTCTAATTGCCCCCTGTGGCCCAGCGGTGAGGTTGGGGGATTATAACGTTAAAAAATATTGTTTCGATACCTACGGTGGGCGGGACAAAGAGAGCCTACATTGTAACTTACTATTTAAAAACAACAACAACACCAACATTTTCCTAATGTAAGAAGTTAAAACTTTATACAAACATATTGATAGTATTGTTTTAGATTAACAAGTTAGTTTTTGTTTAGTAACGTAATATATAATGTTGGTTTGTTTGTTTGTTTTAGAATTTTGCGCAAAGCTACACGAGGGCTATCT